AGATCTTTACAACGAAAACTATAGAACCCTAAAGAGGGAAATAGAAGAAGACCTTAGAAGATGGAAAGAAATACCTTGTTCATGTATAGGCAGAATTAACATCATTAAAATGGCCATACTACCAAAAGTACTCTATAGGTTTAATGCAATGCCAATCAAAATCCCAATGGCATTCCTCACAGAAATAGAAAAGGCAATTCTGAAATTCATCTAGAGAAATAAAAGACCCAGAATAGCTAAAGTAATTCTAAGCAGGAAGAGTGAAACAGGTGGTATTGATATACCAGATCTTAAACTATACTACAGAGCAATGGTAACAAAAACAGCATGGTACTGGCATCAAATCAGGCAGGTAGACCAATGGTACAGAATAGAGGACACAGAGACCAATCCACAAAATTACAACTACCTTATATTAGACAAAGGTGCTAAAAGCATGCAATGGAGAAAGGATAGCATCTTCAACAAATGGTGCTGGAAGAACTGGAAATCCATATGCAACAAAATGAAATTGAATCCCTTTCTCTCACCATGCACAAAAGTCAACTCAAAATGGATCAAAGAGCCAGGAATCAAACCAGAGGCTCTGCGTCTAATACAAAATAAAGTTGGCCCTAATTTTCATCATGTGGGGGCAGGCCCCAAATTCCTTAATAAGACACCTATAGCACAAGAGTTAAAACCAAGAATCAACAAATGGGACGAATTCAAACTAAAAAGTTTTTTTCTCAGCAAGAGAAATAATATGTGAGGTGAATAGGGAGCCTACATCCTGGGAACAAGTTTTAACCCCTCACACATCAGATAGAGCTCTAATCTCTAGAGTATACAAAGAACTCAAAAAGTTAAACAACAAAAAAACAAATAACCCAATCAACAAATGGGCCAAGGACCATTCTCAGAAGAGGATATACAATCAATCAACAAATAAATGAAAAAATTCTCGCCATCTCTAGCAATCAGAGATATGCAAATTAAAGCTATTCTCAGATACCATCTCACTCCAGTAAGAATTTCAGCCATTATGAAGTCAAACAACAACAAGTGATGGCCAGGATGCGGGGAAAAAGGTATGTATACTCATACATTCCTGGTGGGACTACAAATTGGTGCAGCCAATTGGGAAAAGAGTATGGAGATTCCTTGGAAAACTGGGAATGGAACCACCATTTGACCCAGCTATTCCTCTTCTCAGACTATACCCAAAAGACCTAAAAATGGCATACTACAGGGACACAGCCACATCAATGTTTATAACAGCACAATTCACTATAGCTAGACTGTGGAACCAACCTAGATGCCCTTCAATGGATGAATGGATAAAAAAAGTGACATTTATACTCAATGGAATATTACTCAGCACTAAAAAAATAACAAGATCATGGCATTTRCAGGGAAATGGATGGCATTAGAGCAGAATATGTTAAGTGAAGTTAGCCAATCCCCCCCAAAAAATAATGCTGAATGCCTTCTCTAGAGAAATATAAGAGGAGTGACTCAAAATGGGATAGAGAGGAAGAGCATGAGAAGAAGATTACCTCTAGATAGGGAAGAGAGGTGGGAGGGAAAGGAAGGGAGAAGGGGAATTGCATGGAAGATGGAAGGAGACCCTCATCATTATACAGAATACATGTATGACGATGTGAGGGAAAAATAAAAAGAAGTGTGTCACATTAGATTAGGTAGAGTGAAGTAATGGGAGGGGAGGGGAGGGGAGGGGAGGGGAAGGGGAAAATGGAAGGTCAGCAGAATAAAATAGACATTATTATTGCTGTGGGTATATACGTGACTGCATGACCAATGTGATTCTATAACATGTACACTCAGAAAAATGAGAAATTGTACCCCATCTGATTCAAATATATGATATGTCAAGATCATTGTACTGTCATGTGTAACTAATTAAAACAAATAAAAAAATAAAACTCATAAAAAGTAATTTAATACCTTAAAATTATAAGAAAAATATGGTCCTTTTAATAAATGAAGAAAAATTGAAAAAAAAAGAATCCACCTGTCAGTTTCTCAAGTTCATTCATTGTCCTTAACTATTTTAAATCCATAAAAGCTTCACAAAGCCTACATTATCCTTCACAACAAATGTTCCCTGCCTTTTGATTGACAGTATCATCTCATGCAGTAAGTTTTGTTAAGGCTATAAATTCTACATTATTATATATTAAAATTAATAATGAAGAACAAATAAATGGAAGGTGGTGTTTGAGACATTTCTGTTCAAGAAATGATAATAAAACCATAATTTCTATTTGTAAAGATGTCATTTAACTATTAGTGAATTCACAAAAGAATCATAGTAAACAAATTCAACAAAATCAAATTTATTTTGTTTTCTTTTAACTCATAGTTAAAGAGTCTTTTTCAAAAACATTTTGAGGCTATAGCCTCAGATTTTGTGTATATATATTTTTAATTTATTTTTATTTACAATCATTTCTATGACATGTTTTCCACTTTGTGAATATATAACATTTCATTTATGAATTTCCTATCAATGAACATTTCAGTTTGGAGCTCTTTACAATATTTTATTCCCACTTTACATCAGTGCTGCTATTAACATCCATGCACATTTCTTTGTATTCTTCTGTGTATAAAATTCTGCAAGCCACCAAGGAGTGAAATTGCTTCAACATGTCTTTTTGTTGTTGTTTGGGTTTGAGTTTTGGTTTAAATATTGCACAAAAGGAAAAGAATGCATTGCAAAACAAAGTAGCCTAAGATCTCTTGTTCTTAATATATTTTTTTTCATTTCCATTAGTATTTCAGGTTTATATAGGACTGACCTATCTCTTATGCCTCAAATGTACACTTATGACTTGGTGACTATGACCTCCATTTCTGCCTCAACAGGTTAAAAAACTGTCAGAACACATTTGTATTTGCAGCAACTTCCCAGATCATACATTTTAAGGTTTCATTGAGCTACTAGATGTTCCCTCCAGGTCTTTCCATGTACTTCACAACAATATTCCAGTCTTCTCAGAGACACAATTCTATGTTAACAGACACATGATTCCCTTCTACATAAGGACAACTAGTACTAAAAGGTATTTTTAGATTTTTTTTCTTCTCATCTAATTATGCTGCCCCAAAATTTATAAGTTCAAGCGCTGACCACAAATGTGAGATAGGGCCTTTAAAGAGGTAATTGAGGTTAAATGGAATATACAATCTTGGTCCTTTTAAACCAAAGAAAATATTTAAATACTATAAAAACACAGAGGAAAGGACAGGTGAGCACACAGTAAGAAGGTGACCATGTTCAAAAATGGCTTAGAGTCCTCAAGAGAAATCAACCCTGCCAGCAGTTTGATCCTGCAACTTTAAGCATCTAGAAATGTGAGAAAGTATTTATACTGTGTAACCTGTACTGAGATAATTTGTTACAATAGTCCTAGAAAACCAACACAGTGTTTCTCTTTCATCTTCTTTCTTCTTTTTCTCCTCATTTCCTGAGTTGAAGAGTGGTTACCAGAATACAGCCAGATTCTCAATAGGTTCTTCTTCTAATTCAGTACTTTAGTTAGAAGAATCGTTTTAGATGAGATTGACAAGGGCTCCAAAGAGATAACTCAATTTCTTTGTCACTCAAACCATAAAACTCTCCTTCTCATCCTGATAACCCCATGACCAGCCCTACAGAAATTCTTGGCCTAAATGGATGCGTCAGAGAGGCATCCAGCTAGCTGGTCCCCACAGGCCACTCACAAAGTCCCTATCATAATCCCTTCACATCATCCCTCAACACAGGTTGGGTGCAACAGTGGCCCCCTAAGACCATGAGCATGCTCTGAGAGATGAGGTTCCAGTCCCAGGCCTTACCCTGGGAGCAAGATAAATGCAAACTTATATGAAAATAAGCCCTATCACTGGATTGAAACAGAGAGATATTTTGTGACTCACAGACCTCAGAATTTTTTCTCCTTTCTCTCTTTCTACAAAGTTGAGAGGATCAATCAAATAGTCGACTTCTCAAAAAGGCACAATATTACAGCATACTGAGTACCATTTTCACTATTAAATTTATGGCAAAAACTTACACGAGTTTAGTGATAGAGAAAATTAGCATGCCTTCTAAAAATTAAATTGAATCAAGAAATCTAAAAGAATAAACTTTGGCACTGTGTTTCTAGCATCACCAGTTGGAGATTGTGAGAAACAGATGTTCTGAGCTGTGGAGCAAAAGTGTTTCACCTTCTACTGAGATTGTAGTGAAACTTTTTCTAAGACCTCCACATTTACCTACATATGATAGACAAGCTTCTGATTGATAGCCCCAGCATGTCTGCACCAGAGAAAGTGGTGGTAATGAAAATAGTTTCTGCCTTCAGTACTTTCAGAATGTATGAAAAATATTTAGAATGAAATCACTCAAACTGCCTTCTGCATGAGAATAACATATATCTTTTAAAAAGATCATCCTGAGACTTGTAATTAAAAAGGAAGTTGAGAGAAAGGCAGGCTGAGGAGACATGAATACTGAGATGAAGCCTGTTTCCATCACTTCTCTCCACTTCATTGTGCCAACTAACAATGGACTCTGAACTCACTGAGGGATGTTAGTCTATTGTACCTTTTTTATAAATTTCTTTTTAGTTATAGAGGGACACATCTTTATTTTGTTTATTTATTTTTATTTGGTCCTGAAAATCGAACCCAGTGTCTCACATGTGCGATGCAAGCACTCTGCCACTGAGCTAAAACTCCAGCCCCCATTTGTCACAGTGGTCAAAAGGTGTGACTTATGTAGTCCAAGGGGGAGAAATAAAGAATGTCCACGCACTTCTGCCCTAGTAAATGCTTTATTCACTCAAATCACTCAATACAATTTTTATTCTATAGGTTCTTAATCAAGACAATGATAATTCTTAATGCTAGGCACTGCAATAGACATCATCAATTCACAGCTAACAATTCTAGATTAATTCTAAGCACTGCAAACACACTTAATCATGACAGGATAATGACAGACATTCCCTCTGCATGCCAAGTTCAAGTGTCAGATTAAAAGTCTCAAGCCTTAGGCTTTAAGTCCAGCAGATGCACACTCACCCAGGTCAGGAACAAAGGCAGACTTCTCCTGGGGTGGAACTGACAGCCAGCTAAGGAGAGGGTCTAGGGAGAAGTTGTGGCTCTCACCAGGGTCAATATCTGGCTGTAGAGTTTGAGAGTGGTGAGGAAAATGCAGAGGATCAGCAAATGAAGAAAAGTGTTGGGATGTCAGTCCAGGTCCTTATCAGGCTCTCAGTGTGAGAGCATTATTGTCAGCTGGCTGAATATCTGTTCACTTGCTCTATTATTTATACTAAATTTGGGGGCTTTTGACCCCTTATCTACTGCCACTGAATCTCTCTCTCAGTGACATCATTTACCCTGGGGTTAAAACATCTCATCTGGTGGTCCCCATCCTGATCTTTTCACCTTTCTCTCTTATTCAGCGCTTTTCCCTCTTATTGGGCAAAGACAGCCTGCCAGAGGCTTCACTTGAGTTTATCAGGGTGGGGAGAAATGACTTGTTTGTGCCTAAGAGCCATACTGGAGGGCTCCATTAGGCATGTCTGGTGAGACTACAGGTTTCAAACTGGAGTTTTTAAAATGGAGTTGCTTAGGCTCAGGCCTAAGGCCATCCTCATACCATTGTACCTTTATAGTTTGCTGTGAGTACCACATAACTCAATTTGTCTCATCTCATTCATATTATAACTTAGGACTACATGTTTACCTCCAAAAATTCTGTGTCAGAAAAGTTTATTCCATCTCAACATCTCTTAAATATTTCACCTATACTTAAAATTTCCATGTTTGACTCATTGAATTAAAGTGTTTTTCAAATTGAGTTGTTAATTTTATACAAAATATGAAAAATTTCTTCTGATGCCAGCATCCTGATCTTGCTTGAGTTTCTTTTTCATTAACACATGTAAGACTAGTCTGGTTGCTTCCACACAACCTAGAATGTGATTTCATTTCCATTGCTACATAGCCCTGAACATCAAGTATGCAGTTTCTCTATTTCCCCTGAAAATACATATACTTTTTACATTCTGGGGAGTTTCCGGTAGAATGTTTACTCCACAATTTTCACTCATTAACTTTAAGGCTTTAGTGGAAAAACAGATTAATTTAGATCTATATCACCATTAACAATTACTATCAAAATTTTTATATACTGAACCCAGGAAACTTCATTAATGATTTCAACAATACTTGTTCCTCAAAAGAAGAATATATTAGGATTAGAGAAAGGAAGATAAGTGATTTTCTTAACTCCTTTCAAAGAATTATAAACCTTAAAGGAAATAGAAAGTGTTCAGTTGAATCTCTTGATTCCTAGTGGAAATAACTTGATTCTCTTAGTGGAGAGAGATCAAACTGAGAATGGTATCCTGAAGCAAGTTAATTCTACCTAAGAATGAGCCAGCTAGACTATTCCCAAAATTGATATCAGGTGGAGAGCATACATTCTTTCAGAATCTTCATCAGGATGTTCTTGGTGTCCTGAGCAACTAACTCAAGGATGCGCCTATGTCTCATGAATCTGAAGTGGTGGATGACAGGATKACCTAAGAATGGTATATATCTAAAAAGTGTTAGGAATGCCCTCATGATTAAGCAAGTCATGAATTTCATTTTCCAGTCACCTCCACAGAGAGTGTGCAAATCTTGGGACTTCATGATGGTCATGTACTCAAAAGCCCATGTCCCCATACTATGAGCCACCTGCTGAAGTGATGCATCATCCACACCAAAGAGCAATCGGTAGGCTTCCAGACACTCCCCCAAGTCATCAGCATCCCTGATGCCAAGAATATCCTCCACATGCTCTGTGGATAATCTCCCCTTCAAGGAGTTCACTTTATCATTAATGATCTTCTCACAAATGTGGGAAAGCATGACTAAGGGACCATGGCACCTGATGTTAGAGAGGTCTATTTTCAATGTATTCCTAAGCTTTGGGAAGTCATGCAATAAAGGGTCAAGGTTAGATACAAGGAATATGGGGGGTTCCCACACACCCTCCTTCTGAAGATTTTCCTTGATATTCTCTTGGATATTCTGTAATAGCTGTCCCTTTGGGAGAGCACTTGTGCTGAAATCCCTGTCCAGCTTAGTCCAGACAACATAGAACCTCTTTCCCATCCCCTCAATGGCTTTGGCAAGCTTTACATGATTCATGCTGAACTGCTCAGATGCAATGATGATAACGAGGTCATATTGGCTGAATTGCATCTCATTCAGATAGTTCTCCAGACTTTGAGCAGTAGTCCCCAAGCCAGGCAGGTCCCACAGCACCACATTGGGAAAGTGGAAAGAAGAATAGCTTCCTCTTGTCTGGGTGGTTGTCACCACCCCTATGGGAGCGGAGGCCTTCTCCTCATGTCCCAGGACTCGCAATGCATTGATGAAGGATGACATACCATTGCCTGACTCCCCAGTCACAGCAATGTGTACTTGGTTTCTGGACACTGTCTCTACAGTCCTCCTGAACACAGAGACCACTTCCAACAGCTTTCCTTCTTTCAAGGACTTCTCAATATTTCTGCTCATCTCTTCAGTTAAAATGTTCCAGCCTGTATGGTATGACACAACAGAAGTGAAGGATGTAGACAATGGAGTGTAACAGGACATGGGGGCTTTTGCCATATTTGTGAGTAGTGGAGCCACCTGCAGAAATAGAATAGAGGGAGTTAGACACAGTGTGACACAGGAATCAAGAGAGTTCACATCTCATTCCCAGGGTTTCAGATATACAACAAAAGAGATAGCAAAGAATTTCAATTACAAACAGAGCAAGCAAAGTATACATTAAGGAAATTTACACATTCTTAGGGATTATGGAGTTCCTAAGATTGCTTGGGGCTTATGTGTCAATGGTTAGCCCCAAATCAGGACTGTGACCCAATGAACTTGAGCAGCAGAATGTCAGGCAAGTCATTGAGGTGGGAGCACACATTCTTATTCTGCCCCATTTTGTGGGAAGAGACTGGAAATGCCGGTAAGACCAGCTTTCCATAGTGAGTAATTCACTGATAAAGATGTGCTAGTCCTCCCTGGGGTTATCTTTTTTCATCAAGAACAGTTCAATTATTGTTAATAATCCTATTAAAAGTGATTTTTTTTCTTTTTCTGGCAGTATTGTGTTTCTTAAAAAACTGAGATAATRTTCACCAATAACTACAGCTTCAACAGACAAGTCAGAACAACTTTATGAATAATCTACTGATTTTAAGTCAGCACTTAAATTTTTATATTTCTATGTATAACTGTTGATAGTGTTATTCATATACATATTCAAGACATTATATGAACATGTTTCTCTTATTAGCTTAATTCTTGCAATGAGATTGAAAGCATTTGTGGAACAGGATTATAAAGACAATTAGTTGGAATTATCCAGTGGATTCGACTCAAGATTATAACACATAGACTTTTCTTGGCTGATGGACTTTCATAATCCTACATTTATCTGTGATTGCTATGGTACTTTTCTTAAAAGTACTTAATCACCTCTTTGTGCATGAATATGAAATTTTTGAAATTCAAGACCATTTCTTTAGCTGCAGAGTTGCTTTTTTGTGTCTCATAGAATCTTCCTGACCTATAAGGTGCTCCCTAGCTGGCCCACCAGTGGGGTCCCCTGAAGCTTCTGAGGTCCTATATGGTACTCACAACTGGTGTAGTCAGGTTTCTGTCCCAGAAGGCCTGCTATTCTTTCAGTAGGATAAATTTCATAACATGAACACAAGTAGGTTTCATGGTGCTGTATCTTGCTCTTCACAACTTTCCTGAAGATACCACTGTCCTTGCTCTTCTCCTGGGGTAGTCCCTACCTGCAGCACAACAATACTCTCCATATTCTTCTAGTTGCTGATTTTCTAGCTCCAAGGTCTACATGCACCTTCCCCATGGATGAAATAATCTGAGAATCCCTTGAGGATCAGCTCAGATCTTTGCAACATAGACAAGTTCCTAAAATCCCAGTTTTCTGCCTTGTGTTTTGAGGAAATCATGCTACCTGCTCTCAGGATTCATGTGAATATTTCATAGCAGGATCCACAGTATGTTAGAGTCCTCTTGGTGAAGGCTCTTTGGTTGTCTTATACTCTCTGATAAAGACTTCCTCTGGTTCTTTTTTCTCCCTCCAACTTTAATCGCACAGTATGAAAGCGATATATTTGTGAATCTGTCAGTGCGGAGTCTTTTTCATGCCTTGTCTCATTTAATCTTCCTCAAATCCTAATCTTCAACCTTGACTCTGTTTGAAGAAACAGAGAATTATAAATAAATAACAAATCTTGAATTACATAGAAGGTGTGTGATGGATTCAAAAATTGAACTTCTGAATGTGATTCTATTTTTCTGTCTGGCAAAGATAATCATATTTAATAGAAATCTAGCTCCCTGAGGTAATGATTATTGATGCTGAGGTACTTCCCTTGAGGTCACTGATTTGGTTATAACAATTGCATTTGCAACTACTTGAATTCACCTTTAACAATGTTGGGAGAGAATAGAAATTAGCTTCTGTCTCTTCCTATCATACCATCATTGATATATAATTGTAAAGGAAATTCCAACAGTGTACCCACTAATTGGAGCCTATTCTAGGAGGTTTAGGAGAGGGAGGTACCTAATGAAATAATCAGAGAGATACTAGGTGTCCATTACAGACCTCACCACAGTCATGAACCCAGGGAAAAAATATTCTGTGTGAGTTCCAGGTTGTGTGCAAGGAATTTTCTGTCCCTGGATCAGGCTCTGTAGATCTTAGATTAGGGATCTTAGAAAGTCTTAATATTAATGTTAGGGATCCTTTGGGGCTAGTAATCCAGAAAGGATGGAAAGAAATGAGCATCCCCTGAATCATTCCCCCTGATTGGTCTACAAATGATCAAACCTTATATATGGATCTATATCACTTTGAATTCTCTCCTGATAGATCAAGTGAAAGAACCTGGTATGTCAACTTGCTTGAAAGTAGGTGTCTTTCCCACCATGTGATGTCTTCTACCTCATTGAGACTGCAGAGACTCCCCACCAACAAGAAGTGGCACACCAGATGTGGCTATCTGATCTTGAATTTCCCAGACTACAGAACAGTGAGACAACTAAATCTCTTTTCCTTATAAATTGCCCAATCTCAGATATTCTCCATTGGAGCAATAGAAAATGGACTAAGACAGGTAATGGACCACATCCCTGAATAGGCTTTGCATTTTTAAATGACTGGGGAAAAAATCAAAAGAAGAACAATATTTTGTGACAAATTTAAAATATGTGAAATTCAGACTTCAGTGTCCATCAGTAAAACTGGGGATACAATCATTCCCATTTGCTTACACGTAGTCTCTGGCTGCTTTTGTGGTACAGCAGCAGAGGATCTAGAGAATTCCTAAAAAAAATCCCTACCAAGTAGGGGAAGAAGATTTCAAGAGGCATTAATGAGACAGAACAAAAGAACAACCTTTACACACAGATATATGCTCAGGATTCGGGACTCATCAGAGGTCAGGGAATGACACAGAGCAAAATCTGCTTCCAGAAACCAGAGTGGGGCTTTCTTTATTCAGACTCTGCCTTCATCAACTGAAAAATGTCTTTTTAGAGGACATTAATACTTAGGGAAATGAAGAGTAGATCATCTCCTCCATATAGTATTTTCTACCTTGAAAGTCACCACACCTCTTCCCAAGACCTAAGAGATAGAAGCCCAAGAGAGTGAATATAGTTCTTAAATCCTGATTGAGTGGGTTCTGTTTTCCCACAATAAAATAATAATGATAAATTGGAATTGAAAAAAAGAAGATTTGGGAAGTATCCGTTCATGCTTATTATCATACTAATACATTCTTGTCACTTCCAATAAAATAATTCCTCTAGATTATTTACCCAATGCCTCTGGTACCTACTAGGTATTTGATCCATTTCTATCTAATGAAAAGAAATATATTTTATAAATCTCTCATTACTAATTGACAGGACAATTAATTCTCCTTCTTTAAATCTGTCAGCTGAAGAACTAAAGCCTGTTCCCCACACACCTCTGGCAATTGCTCTCCTACGGGGAGGGGCTGAGACAAGGTATTGACCTGTATAACAAGAATGGGGGAAGTAGGCATTACTCCTACACTTTTTGAGAATATTTATGTAACCAAATCTTACTTAAGTCAGGCCCTTCCAACCTGTCTCCTCAACTGAGCACTTACTTCTGGGCTCTGTGAGAAAAGGTATCTATGACCCTATAGCTCTGGACCCAACATCCAGATTATTTGCCCTCAATGCCTGATTCCCTGGTCCATTGCCCTGCACCCTGATGCTGGTCACAACTGTATAGTAGACCCAGATGAGATCAAGTACCAAGGGCCTTTGTAAAAAGTGCTCTGCTGAGGTCCATGTATCAAAGAGACCAGGGAAAGACCTGGATAACTCTGGGTGAGGTTGCAGGATCCTCCAGGGAGAGTCAGTATTGAGGGTTAGTATGGGACAGCTTTAAGACTCTGGGGCTCACAGTGCTGAAAATTGGCATTTGCAGAAAGTCTATCAGAGTATACTCTCGTAGCCCCTATACTCCCTTCCTCGATGGCCCATCCCAAATTATACCTCTGACCTAAGGAAGGGGAGCAGACTATTCTGGCTTCCAAAGGGAGCCCAACAAGGAGGTTAAATTAGAGGAAAAACAGCTAGGCTTAAAAAGAAGAACAAAACCCTGTGAGTAGCATCTTTAAAGTCTTCTGACTTAAATCCACTGTAAGAGATGCATTTCACATGATAATCGGGCACACATGTTCAATCACAGGCAAAGACCTAAATGAAGATCAAGTCACATGATTTCCTTTTTTTTTAATCTTTAGTCTATTCTATTATATTCCGTTGAATGGTATTTTATTGAATTCTATTCCACTACTTTAATGTTGGTGCGACCCACAAAATACATTTTATGACTTAATTGAAAAAAATAAAGAAAGAAGGCTTTTTGTGGATTTCCTATGCAGGGTTCTATGTAGTTTAAGCTTCTTTCAACTACCCTGAGCCCTTATCAAAGGGAATCCAAGATATGTGGACTGGACTAGAATGGATCTGAAGCACCAAATAGTTTTTAAACATAGATCCTATATGGGTCCAAACCCTTGTTTTATTGTTTATTTCATCATCATCAGGAAAGACTAAGGAAATATCAATGTGCTAATTTATTCCAGAAAAGGGTGGCAAACCTCTCCAGGATCAATGGGTGCAGTACTATACCTAGAATGCTCTAGGAAAAGTCTATCAGGAATGAGTTGGAGCCCAGCAACAGAGCTAGTTTCTCCATGAAGATAAAATATTTGAATTGAGTCAGGCAAAAAGGTCACTCTGATACATCATGCTCAAAATTCAACCTCAGATACTAATTCCCTGAATGATCCAGGTAAGGAAAACATAGGATGTCATAATTTCAGGCTCTGTCAGATATTGCCTGTGGCCAATTCAGATCCTGGGAGTCTGACCTCACAGGGAACATTTCCAGCTTAGGCTCTAGAAAATGTGGAGGGCATATCCCATCTTCTTCCTAAAAAAAATTGGTCCATATCAGAAGAACAAAAACAGTAGGAGTATGTAGGTAAGAGAGAAGCATATTACTTCCACACTGGATGTTTTGGAAGCACAAAAAAAATATATATTAGAGTGCTATGTAGCACCTGAAGGATGTCAGAGAGGAGCTATGAACACACCATGAGTGCAGTAAGCCTCATCCGAAACTCTTCTGCCCTTGGTGTAAAGGATCCACCTTTAATGTCATTCTATGAGTAGAGTTATTAGCAAGCTGCACTTAGGAGACATTCTCTTACCTGCTTCAGAGGGGTGGCTGTGAGGAGATGTCAGAAGTTCTCCTGGGATATCGCTGCCTCCCTGGGGAAAGGTTGCTGTCCTCAGGCAGAGGCAATTGCCAGTCCCAGGTGGCTCCAGAAGGCAGAAGTCACTTGTGGAGAGCTGAATTCTTCTGAGGAAGAACCAATAGAGAAGGAGAGGAGAGGAGCTAAAAAGGAGAGTTCAGTCTTCCTGGGTTTTCTCTCTTCACTTCACAGTAGAGTTATTGTGCTGCCCCTGCTCACTGCTCGGCTGTTTGTAGATTTCAGTCTGGCTGCCTGCCTCAGCTCCACAGGGAGGGGAACATTGRTGGGGTRAGGTTTCAGTTTCTATTCCTGTAAATAACTGATTTTCAGGATACAACCATTCAGTTTCCACTTTTGCCTTCCAGTAGGAGTAGAAACCATTCAATTCTAGCCTGAATCCAAGTCCAGGATGTCTTAGCTCTGCCCAGGGGCTATGAAAGTTTAGCCCAGGATGCAGACATTCTGGGCCTAGACTTTCTTTCTCACCTCCTGGAGCCCATGTCCTCTGAGATGTTGACATCTGGACAATGTGTGGTCAGGCCCTTTGGATAGCTGCAGGCACTAACCACAAAGTTCCTCCTAGTGGTTGTTGTCCCTGACTAGCTTCATTTGCTCCCTCCCATACCACTCAACTCAGGGGCATAATCGCTCTCTACAATGGAGCTCCCCTGATCATCCCACAGGTCAAGGCATTTGTCCACTCCAGAATACCTGGCTGTTAATTTGTGATTCTTTTTGGCCTCTGACTTCTCACAGTTCAGGAAAGACTCTCTATAACCAGCTTACACTCTTCCACTCCATATAATTGATTGTCACTTTCCTGGCTAATGTCTACTTTAAGAGGGGCAGGCCTGACCACTAATAGGTCTGACCATGGGGATGAATGCTGATAATTAACATGACTGGGAAAATGCCATGATTACCAGAGCAAGATAGGGTAGCAGGATAAAGTATGAAACTCTGATCATTGTCCATGGACCAAAGGTGGTCTGATTACCACCTAACTGTCCCTGAACCTTCTGTTCCATCCACAGGGTTCATCCTACCTAGCTTCTGGGATAACTGCATTCCTGAGTGCCCCACATTTCATACACGTTATTCTTGCTGTTGGGAGAGTCCTTCCCATGGCTGCAACTCCTAAGCCTCCTCTCTAGCACCACATATTGATAAGACCTCCATGACCAAGATACACTGTCCACAGGACCCTGTCTTCCACCCTCTGGGTGCCCCATCCATCCTCCTTCCTGCTCAGTGTAGCTACCTGAATGCTCAGCCCAGCACATTAGTAGTTTCCCTATTGCTTGGAATCTGCACTAGGTACCAGGCTCTGAAATACCCCCATCATCAGGTTCAAATGACACTGAGGTTTTGAACTTGTGCTASACTGAATGAGTCACCAGAAAGGATGAGAAGGTAGAGGCCTGAGTCCTCAATGGGGGAATGAATGGACATCTGATCCTAGACAGGCCTTTGACTTCTCAGTGGATTTCATCTCCTTATTCTAATGTAGAATCAATAGGAAAGTATATGGTCAGGCAAGGGACCACAGGGCTGGAGTTATGTGACAGTAACAAGGTGGAGACTGAGTCTGTTTTCTGAGCTTTGGGGAAAGATTGCAAATGTGGATAATGAGTTATGAACACTGATGTGGCTAAGGGGTTTTAAAATTGGCTTTGCCATCCTTGATTCGACCTGTGAGTAAAAAACTGCCAACTAGCAGCACACTGCAAGAAGATGTTTATCTGGACATGGGTCTTCCTCAGTAAGATGAACTCAATCAAAACAGAGTCAGGTTGCTCCACAATTTTCAGAATATTGCAGGAGGAGATTAAGCAGCATCTAGGTTTGATCTATCTCTATCCCTCAGGGCCCAAATGGGAAGACTGTGAAAATCCCTTGTCTCTTTTATATGAAGAGCATTTACCACACAGTAACCATCAGAAAGACTGTAATCATCCCACCTGAGTGTGTCTTTTCCTGCCTTTTGTAGTTTCCTTCCCCTCTGACACCTATAACCTATAATATAGGACTTTGTAGCTAAAATGAGGGCTGGGAGCTCACTCTAGTCCCTGCTGTAGGTGTGTCAGTGGGAGYAGGYTGTGAGCCAAGGAAGGGGTGGGGAAGATTCCAATTTCCTAAGAGTCTGGAGTTCTTTATTAGATGCATTGAATTTCTGAGTGGGATTAGAGACTGGATATCTTGAGCATAGTATAGAAGATCTGAAAACTCTGGAATATTTCCACCAGGTATAGAAGACAGTATTCTAGCAAAGGTCAATGCAGAGTTGGAAGAGAAGGACAATGTTGCATCCTGCTGGTCCAGGCACTTCTCCAGTTCTCTTCATTGATCCCCTAATACCTACTGGCAAATTCTTCCTCCAAACCTGGTGAAGAGCATGAAGAATAGAGAGAAGATCTCAGCTAGTCCTGTGCTCACTGTGGAGGAAGTCAGACCACAGGGGCTGAGCACAAACAGAAAAAGCAGGCTCACACAGACATTGCACAAACACTGTATCTTGGCACAGGGGCCTTAGAACAATTTCTGCCTACTGAAAGCTCCTGCACATTCTGAATGTTTGCATGATACGACTCTCTGGTCTCTGGAAGCCCACTTCCTGCCCCATTTTTTTCCACATATTCCTGTATCTCTGAATCATCTGTTCAGCAACAAGTAGTATGAGCCCCTAGAGGCCACAGTACCTTTCACTCTCTGATTCCTGGGRAAAAATGAGGTTTTGAAAAAAGAAAAAAGTGAATCTGTTTTCTGAAATTTGAGGCGGAGACTGCAAAGGTTAATAATAAGCTATGCAACCCTGTGTGGCTGAGAGATTTTGAAACCAGTGTCACTACTATTGATTTTTCCTTTCATGAGGAAATGAAAATGGCAGTAGTAGAGATGTTCCAATAAAATGCAATCATTTTATTGTGATAATAAGAGCTGGATATGGGTCTTCTTAGGTAAAGGAACTCAGTCAAAAAGGTCTAGGTGGTTCCATGATGTGCACACAATGAGAAGCGGGAATGAAGCCTACAGGTCTGGGCTGTGCCTGTCCCTCATACCCCAGTAGGGACATCTGTGTGAACCCACATAGTCCATGTATATGAACAAAATTCACCACACAGCAGCCTCAGCAGGATCATATCTGCCACCTGAGTGTGTCCCTTCCTGCCTACTTCTCCCTACCATCTTCAAAATGGAGATGATTTGTGCATGAAAGAGGAGAGAAACAGATATGTGTCCCTTTAGCAGATATCCCAGTGGGAGAAGGGACTGAGCTGGGGTAGTGGGGGGATTTTAATTACATAGGAGTCTAGGGTTTATTAGACAGATTAGGGGGACCAAGGAATAGAAGTCCCGAGTTTGGCACAGAAGCACTGGCTGAAGAAGTATGTTATTTCCACCAAAGAGTGGAGGAGGTCTCCTATCAAAGGGMAATGCCAGGATGTTGGGGGAAAAGCAATTATGTTACTTTCAGAGAGTCCAGAGAAGTTTCCAATTCCCTTCCTTGTCTCCCTCCAAACTGGRTGAAGAGAAGCAGAAATGGAGAGTAAAGTTAGGCCAGTCCCACGCTCACTGTGGAGGGGACAGAACCCAGGGGCTGTGCAATGTGAGAAAAAGCAGGCTCACAGCCACTGCCCTGCACTGCCCAGACTTGAGCAATGACTCTCTAGTCGCTGGAAGCCCCAGTCCTGCTCCCATGGTTTCTGCCCCCTCTTCTCTCTCTGACTCACGTTCAATGACAAGTAGTGTGAGCCCCCCTAGTGGCCAACATGCCTTTTGCTTTCCCATTCCTGGAAATCAATGAGTTTTGGAGAAGAGGAAGAAATTGGAGTTGCTTTCACATTCTTGTCTTAGCTATTAATGGAAGCCTTGAACAAAAGCCAGGGAACTCTCTTCTCTTCAAAACAAAATAATTCTTCTTCTAAGACATCAGCTTCCCTGTGAGGCCTGAGGAGAGCTGCTGTCAACTTCTTGCAAATTTCAGTCCCTGCCTTATGAGACTAACAGGGCAGTTTCTGTGTCCTGCTCTCTGTGTGCTGTCTACATGAGCAAAGAGGCCCAGGTCCTAGAGCAGGCACAGGAAGGTAAGAGAGGAGAGTTCAACAACCTTGCTTCTCAGTGATTCCAGCATTCACACTCAGGGTTTTGGGTCATTCAGAGGCCACTGACTCAAGTGACCTCAGACTCAATACTCATCTTCCCCCTGGAATAAGTGGAGATCTCACCCTTGAAATGATTTAGAATGGGCACTACAGGGTCTCTTTGTGGATTGAGGATCAGGTAAAATTGTCTGGAGGCAGGATGGGACTAATGAATGGACACAGAATGCAGATGCAAAAGATACTCAGACCACTCATGGCCTATCCTTGAAGATGCCATTTTCCTAGAAGCTCTAGCAGGGATAGTCTGGTATTTGACATTTTGGATAGCACCAGAACTATGGATTACCTGCAGATCCTTATGTAATAAGAAGGTATGAATGTGGGTCATTTGCCCATGAAGAAATGCTGGGAGCTGAGTCACTCAAAGTCTATGACACTCACCTCCTCTTTTTCTCATAACTAATCAGGGCTTCAAGCTCCCTTCCCTCAGCAGAGTAGGAAAAGATCAGGCATGAATACTAGTCATCCACACAGTGGCAGATTTGGGCTTATCATCTTTGCTTTGTGCTCTATTGTCATGGGTACTGAGCAGAACTGACTATCTTCAGGTATGTGAGAGTCACACTGGGAGATACTTGAAGGAGCCAGAATCCTCAGAGGCCCATGTTGGCCTCCTCGTGTTGATGAACACATCTCACCTCATACCTGCCTGTTTCCCCCCAAAGAATTTTGTTTTCTTTTCTTCTATTCTTTCCTATTGCTTGATTAGTTATGAGGAGCCTGTATTTATTTTGCTTTTCATGAGATAAACCAAAAAGTACAGTACATACTTACTCAGAAGATCATGGCATCCTGGAGGTGATGGAGGGCTAAAACCTGCAGGGGTGCTCAGGAGAGAAGAAATGGTCACCGTGGCCTTTAGTCTCCAAGAAGGCATGCTTCATAGGATTTGGGAAGTACTTGTCAGAGGTCAGCCTCTATGATCCCTGATTTTCATAGATATTAAGAGCTCCCTCCACATCTCTGCTTGAATRTCCCCATTCCAACTCACCAGTGTTCCCTGCATCACTTGCACACTAAGATTGGCCTCCTCCCTGTTAATAGGTGTGTCCAGCT